CTCTCTCCCTCCTTCCCTCCGTCTTCCCCTCTCTTCCCCTGCCTCCCCCTCTCTCTGTCTCTCTGTCTCTGTCTCTGTCTCTTATGCACACACACACACACACACACACACACACACACACACAGGCACATTACGCCAGGCTCACTGAATCACTCTTGGTGGACACACACTCAGCCTTCCAGCTGTCTGCACTGTTCTTACCCTCTCCTTCTGGTGAACTAACCACGTTTTCAGGCCCAGTGTAGAGATTCCCTTGTGGTAAATAAACATGTTCAACTCTTCAGAGTTACACCTTCATCAGCAAGTCTCTCTAGCAGGGGATGGAGTTCTGCGTAAGAACATAAAGTCTAGCGATGGACTATGGGGCTTTAAGAGATGACTCCTATGGTGGACATGGATGCGGTGCCTGTTTATGTATGCATAAAATAAGGAAAGTGTGTCTATCTCATGAGATCGTCATGAGGCTTAAGCAAGACATAGTATGCTCACAGTTGAAATGGAGCTGAAATGTAGAGATGTTCAGTAAACCGTATCATATCATTTAGCCCTCTGAGCCTAGCTGCTGCATTATTTAATATCGAGTATTGATGCACTTATGGTTTTTATTTCCACAAGGCCACAACATCTTCAAACTAAGAATAGAATCTGTTATTTCTTTTTATTTTTGTGCTTGCTCCAATGTCAGATACATAGTAATTGATTTGACACTGGATGGACAGATGGCTGAGTGGGTGTTGATTGTACAGGGAAAGCGGTGGTGGTGGGGGGTAAGTGTTGCTAAGCTCAGTGGTTGGGGCAAAGGCCTGGACCTGTCAGATCAGCAGTAGGAGAACATGCAGGGCCAAGAGACGGGCTCTAACTTCTTCCCTTTGGACTGAGATGGCAAAGACAAACCAAACCACAGCAAAACCAGCTGACAAGTGGCTCTACATTGGGTAGAGAGATGACTTCCAGCACATTTCACTTCTTCTGATTCACAGAAACACCAACACATCATGAGAACCGCTTCCCTAGCTAAGATAGGAAATCCCCTTCTCAGGAATGTCTGGACAAAGCTAGGTGACCTGGGCTTGTACCGGGAGGGAAGAAGACAATGTAGGAGCTGGAGTTGAGGTTAGTCCTGACTTTTCTTGGGAAGGAGCCTCTAGTTGAGGATCTAAGGGCCTTCCCAATGGGATAGAGGCACATTAGGACAGAACCAGCAAGAGTCTTGGCAGTCAGTCTTGGTCCTCAAGGGCTCCTACTGGATTCCTCATCCAATCCTTCCCAGTAATTCCTGGCACCTTGACTCAACAGGTTGACCATCTCAGTTTACTCAGGTGAGTATCTGGAAAGTCCTAATCTCTGATGTCATCAATGATCCCCTTTGCCTTTGCCTGAAGCCAAGCATAAGGAAAAGGACCCATGCTCACAAATACTTTGCTGTGTGCAATTTTAGGTCACATCTATCCCATCAACAAAGTTTCTATTTACCTTTTTTCTGCACTCATCCCATGAAAAACCAACCATGATGTATTAGAACATCTGCCCTCTGGAAGGATGTCTTCTTCAACAACTCTCTTTAAGGTCCAGGATCTTGCCTGCATTATTAGGAAGCCATTTTATGCATATTTAAATTAGACAGCCTGCACTCTGATGCCTTAGGTGTGTGCCTTCCTCAGCCCTGGCCACTTCGTGTCTCCATTTTCAGCTAGGGGAGAACCTTTCAACTTTCCTTCCCTGTAACTACCTTTTCCTTCCTTCCTTCCTTCCTTCCTTCCTTCCTTCCTTCCTTCCTTCCTTCCTTCCTTCCTTCCTTCCTTCCTTCCTTCCTCCCTTCCTTCTTCCCTCCCTCTCTCCCTCCCTCCCTTCCTCCCCTTAGCAACAGAGCTGTTCTCACTTTGCATGCTGGGAAAGACCAAGTGACTTCTTTGTCCCTAGGGGCAGACAGCACCTCATCCAGCCCACCTGTTCCTTCCCAGTGGCCCCTGAGGCCTCAGAGTTGGGTGTCCCCGCACATTTTGACTTAGAGAACAAAAGAAACTATTGAAATGTCATATGTCAGCCACTTCCTCCTATTCTATTAAAACACTTTTCTCTCTCTCTCCAGAAACACTCTGGGTGGAAAAAAAAGAAAAAGGAGAAAACAGCATTGGGGGAAACAATTCAGAAAAAAAAAATTTTTTTAAGAAGGGGGAAAAAAGACCCAGCAAGTCCAAGCCCACTTCGGGGAGTTGAAACATCTGCACTTTCTCAGCAGTTTGAAAGGAAACAAAAAATTGCCAAGTGGTATAAAATTTGAAGAAAAATTACCCAAAGGAGGAATGGACGTTAAGCACGCTTCAGTTCCCCACTATGGGCTGCCATTTGAAGCACTTTCTTCTCCGCTCTTTCTCCCCGATTCACAGTGTGTCTAAAGAGGTGAATTGGGCGCACAAAACCCAACCTCCTCTTGCCAGGGTGGGTATGAAATATGAAGGCCAGACGATTGTCTGGGCTCAGTGCGTTGGAATAACATTGGTTAAATTATGGATAGTTTTTGAATAGTGTCACTTTTTTTCCTCTGCAGATGGTTGTTCACACAAGGAGCCGGGTCTGCATAATTGTATCAGTAATCAGCAGTAAGGCAATTAGTTGTGTAAGTGTGCTATAATCATTCTAACAGAAGAGATGACGAAAAGACAAAAAAGGGAGGGGGGACCAACACGTCTTTTCTGAATCCATCAACTGACAGCCATAATTAGATATATATAATTGAAAATTCCACAGTAGGGGGGCCAGATTAGACAAATGAATTTTCTCTGCGGCCTTACGCATTTTTGTCTTTGGCTGAGCATCCCCCCAGGAGAGGCAGAAAACTCGTCATTCCAAAAGAGTGCGTACTGTACTCCCAATTGTTCTAGACCCATGATGTCAGCATAGCATTTTTTTTTTGGTTTTGGTGTGGGGGTGTGGGCAGGGGGCTGAGGTTATGGTGGTGTGAGGACAGTGCATGGGCTGATAGCAGTCACACCGCTTTGAATATCATTGTCAGCACTGTCGTTTGGAATCTGTTCTCAGCCGGTCAAATGTCCATCTTTTGGTTTATAGTGAAATTCTGGGTGGGTTGATTTGACCTGGTAGACAGGCATTATAGCAACTATCATACTTTTAGGGGTCCACGAAAATGTTTTAAGTTCTTTATGCATCAAAAGAAAAATGTCAGAGTGATAATGAGTCCAACCTAGTTTGGGATCCCTGTGTGCCGGTCGGTGTGGTTGTACAATACAATCTTTAGCGCACTTCTGTGAAGAGAGTTTTTGTGGAAGCTGCCAGGCTCCAGGATCATCCTGGGCTGAGGTGCAGTCTCCTCAGGAAGCAAGAATGATGGCGTTTAAGGGAGCTCCTTTACAACGGGACAGTTCACTCTCAGCTTTCATAGGAAAGAGGGGGCTCTATTTAACCAAAGCCTGATTATCAAAACCTATAATTACATTTGGTTAAAAATTCTTAAGTGCCTATGAGTTTGTGGAAACTGTGCAGAAAAGCTTAGCACCGAATTAATCAGACTATAGGTCTCCCATCAGACCGAAATCTTCTTTTTAAATTGGAAGTGCATCCCCCAGCCTCCCCCTCTCTTCTTTTGAATTCACCAATTCTTCTATAATTTAATTGGACAAATCTGAACTGTGATTTTTCCCCCTCCCGAAGAGGGGCACATTGCGGCCAAGGCTTTGTTAATTAAGCTCTTTAAATGCCCCCAGCTGTGCAATAAGTTTTCAAAGCAACACAACTGCAAATTTATTTTTTTTTAACATTTTGTGGCTAGTTTTCAATCATGTATTATTCCCCCCTCCTTGTTCTGAGGATGGGAAAAACAGGAAAAATCTCAGGGAGAGTTCCCATGCATTGTGGAATCTTGGACAGACAGTCAAATTGGAGGTGCCATTAAGTGGTGTCTAATTGGAGCCTGTTTAATGGGGGGGGGTGCACAGGGGACAATTCTTTGGGCTTGTAGGCAGTGTGGGCATATGCACGCTGTCTAGAAATTACTTACAAGCGTACCAGGAAAGCAAAACTCCCACTGGGGTCTGAAGACGGCACTTCTCCATACAGACAGAGGAGGCTTTTGGGGTGAGTGGACTGAGCCAGGTCCTGGGGATGGTCTCTAGTCTTTTTAGGGTACTGGTGTCCCCCTAAGTATAGCCCATGTTCCTGGTTCTTCACACTCAAGCTTAGCTGGGGAGATCTGAAGGAAAAATGCTGGAGTGAGTTTGCAGTTTGCAGTTTCTCTGCCCTTCACAAAGGACTACCTATGAGGCTACATCTTAGATGCCTTCGTGTAAGACGCTGAAGGACAAGCCATCTGCTGCCAAGGCTGAAGACCCGAGTTCAATCCCTGGGGCCCATGTGGTGCATGGTGAGAACTGACTCCCGCAAGTGGTCCTCTGATCTTTACAGGTGTAGCGCGTGAACACCCACACCTATCTATCTACCAACCCCACACAATAAATAAATTAAAATGTGATTAAATTTTTTTAAAAAAGATGCTAATAAATGACATCGTAGTTAAGAAACAAGTGGTGCCCAGTTTAAAAGGGTGAAGACCTCGGCTAAAAGGTCATTGATAGTCCTGTTCATCCATATTTCAATTCGTTTTTAAATGCTTTCCCGCTCTTTTAAAATTGAGTCTAACCAATGAAGAGTACAGGGAATACCTGTTTTGAGTGGCAGTCGAAAGCCAGTGTATCATTCGCCTCAAACTTCGGCCCTCTGCACAAGTGTCTGTGTCGATGGGGACCAAGTCATTCATCTTGGGTACCTGTGCCTCCCTGGTGTCAGCTTGAAGAAGAGAGAAACTTCGCTGTAGTAAGTAATTGTCCACTAATATGATCATTTTTTTTTTTTGTTTTTTTGTTTTTTTGTTTTTCGAGACAGGGTTTCTCTGTGTAGCTTTGCGCCTTTCCTGGAGCTCACTTGGTAGCCCAGGCTGGCCTCGAACTCACAGAGATCCGCCTGGCTCTGCCTCCCGAGTGCTGGGATTAAAGGCGTGCGCCATAATATGATCATTTTAAAACCTGTCGCCCAGACATATTTTTTATGAAACTGGCCTTGGAGTAGAGTCACCTAGTCCTGGGACATGAGGTCAATACCCTTTATGGCATGACCTGTAGAGGTCAATTACATGGCCCACTGTAGGCCAAGATTTTTGTTCACCTAAAGGATGAGGCTGCATCTGGGTGCTGGAGGCTGAGTCTGAAGGATAGGAACTGAGTCTAGGGCATGGTGTCTGGGTGCTGGAGGCTGAGTCTTGCTCTTTGGTTTGCCAACCATTGAAGATGCTGTGGCTCGGCTGCATGTCTGTGATCTGAATTTCACAGGATGGCCATGTGCACTGAGTGGAATAAACTGGGGGGGGGGACAGTTCCAGCAGAATGGCCACTTGCCAACTTTGTGCTAACTACACTTGGCCAAAGCAAAGAGAAGACATAGTTGCTATTGATATGTTGAGGGCAGGACAGTATATCCTGTCCCCTGGTCCCATATGCCTCTTGCCCTGTCTGTCCCCACGGCATAACATTCTGGTGGCTGTCCATCTGGAAAGCAAACCTTCTCTGTGATCTCTTGGATGCCCGGTTCTTCTTCCTGTGACAAGAGACCCATTTGCTGCTCTTTGTCATCCCCAAAGGCTCATAAACACATGGCTTCACTGATGCTCCCAAGATCCCAAGCTGGACCTGTGAAGCAGAGAGAATCCGGAGATGCTTATCAAAATCAGGTGTATCAGTAGCTCACCGAGAGAGCTCCCCATGGGATGAGGCCTCAGAGGGCAGTGTCCCACTGCTCCTATACTCCTGCCTCTGTTGACCCTGGGCAGGCTTCTCTCGGCTGAGTGCTGTCCCTGTGAACACATCTCCCCTTAGCATGTCTGTCTGTTTTCAAAGTGAGGTGTAAAACCCCCGGTAAGCCCCTAAACAGAATGCGATTTTCATCTTCAAAGCCTCATCCTAGCACAGAGTCCCTGGCCCTGAGCTCCTGTCCACATTCCTCTACCTGTAGACACTGCACACTTTTCCATAGCTGCTTCGTTTCTAGTGCCCCAGTGAGGCACAGTGTCCGGGGCCTCTGCTTCCTCAGTTATAAGTGGAGACAATAAGACTTTTGCCTTCTGGATGTCCCAATGTCTTTATTAATGTATTTGGATGTATAGACCACTTCAGCTGTCACATGACTTCCGGAGGGAATCTCAGTGTGTCAGCCCCTCCAGAGCTCTGCTGCCTTTTCGAGACAGGGTTTCTGTGTGTAGTTTTGGGGCCTGTCCTGGATCTTGCTCTGTAGACCAGGCTGGCCTCAAACTCACAGAGATCCATCTGGCTCTGCCTCCCTAATGCTGGGATTAAAGGCGTGCACCACCGCCCGGCCTCTCACCACATTCTTAGAGAGTTATATCCCCAGACATCAGCAGGCACAGCTCTTCTTCCCTCCTTCCCAGCCAGGGAACATGGACCGCCCCTTTCTGCCTCCCGAACACGACTTTGTTGAGGGTAACTGTCAAGAAACAGTTCCTTCAGCTTAATGATGGAGCATCTCCTTCCCGAGATGGAAGAGGACTTTTAACCCCTTTCTCCCTGAGACCCTGATGGAAGTGGCAGCTGCTACTGCTTGTTCTTTGGATTGTCTTCCTTTGGTCTCTACTCAATGACAAATAAGCTCTGCATTGGAGTTGTCCATCATCCGACTTCCTCTGGAGCAGCTTGGGGGAATCCAGAATTGAGTCTCTCAGCTGCCAGAGGTGAGAACTACCATCTGGGGATGGGGAAAAGTGTCCTATCCCCCTCCATCTTCAGGCTTTGAGTGCCATGCTGCCTACCCTGTAAGGTCCTCTGTCGCCAGCTTGTTTGGGTTTTGTCTTAGCTTTCGTTAAACTACATGCAATCTGCTTATGTCGTCATCGAGCTATGAGGGGTTCTGAGACTCAACACCAACATGCTGCCTGTACTTTATTAGGTTTATGGATGGCCAGGCCCCGGGACGACGACAGCTTGGCTGCCCTGCTGCTGCCCAGCTTACTGTAACTGACCCCTCAAGAAGTACAGGAGTCTGCTGGCTTCATGCTTAGGAGTCAAGGTCAGAGGACCAAGCAAGTCCTGGGCTGTGCATTTTTGGAGAAGGACCTGACTGGTTCTCAGAATGCAGGTGAATTTGACACACATAACACTTTTAGTAAAACTTAGATTTCAGCATTTTAATGGGAGTCCTGTGATCTTCAGCTAGACACAGTGTCTATGACTCCTTTCTGCTTTAAATCTGTCCTGCTTCATCCTCTGTGTTAACCTGTTTAGTCCCTGGGATTATTGCCCTGGCAGCCTAGTGCATCCTTTTTAAGTGTGGAAATGCCTCCTAGGAATCTAGAACATGGAATTTAGAACCAGGAAAGAAAGTCATAATTTTCCAAGCAGGGACTCTGAGGCAAAGAGAAAAAACAAGAACTGTTACTTACCTACAGTGAGCTGGCGGTCACATCTTCCGTGGCACAGTCTCAAGTGACATTATTTCTTTGGACATACTTTAAGAACCTACAGAGGCAGTGTTTACTAAGGTGTCAGTTTCTCATCTGCAGACCCACTTGACAGTTGACACTCACTGTGGCCTCTGAAAGGTCTCTTATCCAACGGAAGGACTTTTCACTGGTTTAGAAGAGCGAGATGGCCGGGTGGTAGTGGTGCACAACTCTAATTCCAGCACTCAGGAGGCAGAGGCCAGCAGACCTCTGTGAGTTCGAAGCCAGCCTGGTCTACAGAAAGAGTTCTAGAAGAACTAGATGGAAGGCACTGGTGGGCATTGCAGCTATGAAGATCTTGGGGTGGGCAAGGATGAAGGGGTTGGCAGCGCTGACTCCAGTCTTCCTATTGTCCCCCTGGCCATGGCCTAACAGTCCCCCTTCCACCCCTAGTTCGCTCCAGGCTGGACATTTCTAACTTCGCTGCTCCGCCGAGCTTCACACCTCTCCCCTGCTTTCTCCTGCCTTCTTCCCCTTAACGCTACTTCAGGGTAAGCAAAGAAATTCTGTTTGTCCTCAGCAACAAAACATCCTTCTGTTCCCATGACCTGCCTCCATCAATGTCAATGGAAGAATATGGCAAACAGCAATGAATGTTTTGTCTTCCTAAACACATCCTCTCTTTGGTTCTCACTACCACTTCTGCAAAAGCTAGGCATTCTGGGTAACCATGGCAGCATGATGGTGAGAATACGGACAGATCCAAACACTAAGTCACAGTGTGTGAACACTACAGAGGGCCTTCTCAGCCTCACCCAAGCTCCTTCCCTCTTTACTATGTGAGGCCCCTGGATGGAGGTGGCAGGGTTGAATTCATGGATTTGCTAGCACCGATTCCAGAACCTTCTTCCCTCCAGATTCTTCTGGGATCTAGTAACTTAGAGGTGGCAATTTTGGCTAAACACCCTCTTTTCAGAACAGAATTCCTCCGCAGGAAGCTTCGCAGTACTTAGAAGGACACTCCTAATGATGAGGCCTCCCCAGCTTCTCCTCATTTGGGCCTCATTGGAATTCAGGCCCTGTGCTTCCCACCCGGCAGCGGTCTCTTTTCTCCCCATCTTTAATTAGTACTGTCATCTTTAATCCTCTGGAAAGAAGAGAGGAGGGAATGAATGTCTTAGCAACAGGCATGTTTCTGAGACTCCAATTCTGACGAACTCCCCAGAGTTACGACATATATGATGAGCACATCTACGTACATTTTCCTATTAACTTAGAGCAGAGAATGTTAGTCTTTTCCTCCTCAAGGGGCTGCTTTAATGCTATTTTTGGTCCCCATGAACAAGGTGTTTTAAACTGTGTTGTCAGGCTGTTAGATGGCTTCATGGTGAAGTGTCCCAGGAACTCACCCCCTTTGGATTGGTCCAGGCATCTTAAATATTGTGGTTGCCAATACAGGAGGGCAGTCACCATCCCAAATGGTGTCTCCTCAAATCCTCCTATGGATTAATTTGCTGGGTGGCCTGAAATAGGTCAAAAGGTTTTGGCCAGGGAGTAGAATTCTAGAAATAATCACCCTATAACCACTCTAAATCAATCATAATTAATGCACTTGCCTGGTCCTGTCATCTGATTGCTGGCTAGAGGGTGAAATAAAGAGACCCTTTCTAATACAATTTGAAAAGAGATCAAATCTGTCATTTCATCTAATAATTGAGCCAAATGAGAAAAGAGAGAGGTTAAAGTTCACTGGGTGACCTTATGTAAACCCAATAATGCATAATTCATTTCCTTTTTATGGAATTTAAAAGCTGCTGTAAATGGGCAGGATGGAGGCTCTGCTTCCCATGGCTTCTGCCAGGCTGCTTGTGTTTAGTCCTAGAGAGCCGTACCAACTTCCCAGCAGCGGATTCCAACTGAATAATCCCCAAACCTTCAATATGGGCCGGCATCTAATTCGTCCTCCCAAGCGTGTGGAGTTAATAACTGAATAAATCACTGACAGCACTCTCTGAATGATATAAAACCTGTAATTTATTTATTGAGTGCTACAAATACAGTTAAAACATGTTTTCATGCAAAATGCTTTTCCTCTTTTTAATATTATCAAAAGGGAGAATCTAGGGTTGGCTTTGTGGTAGAGGGTGTTGCAGACAGCCCGTGTGTCCTTTCTCACTTGTGTTAGCATGTTGGGGAATTTCATCTCCAGCTTCAACATGGTTTGGGCTGAGGGGGGTGGGAATGAAGGCCAGTGTGTTTGAGGAACGCTTCCAGCAACAGCTTGGGCTCAAGTTGACCTGAGTTGGGAACTGTAGCCAGGCAGATCATCTCTATAGATCACTCAAAGATCTTACTTGGGTAGCAGCCAACCAGGGACCTGCTTTTCCAAAGAGCCTGCTTCGTTACATGGTACCATCGAGGCAGTTAGCTACTCTTGCTCCTGGGGTAAGTGGTTGATACAGAGATTGTATGCCTCTGTGGAATGAAGGTGACCTGAAGACGCCCTTAGATCTTCCAGTGGCTGCTCATGGTCCTTCAGAAGATGCAGCTTCTGAATGCTCAGTTGAAATCTTCCTCACAGGGTGGAGAATCCTGCAGGTCCCCGTGCTCCATGCTGTTGACACTCTTAACCTCAGCACAGTATTGCCTGTCTGCAGCCTCCAAATGCTCAACCTTTACAGAGCTCCCTGCCTCTCTGTTGCTGTAAGGTTGCTCTGCACCACTCTGAGGATGGGCTTTCTAACACATAGACGTGACCTGATCATTTTCTGCTAATGCACACTTTAGTGTGCCATGAGGGTGCTGAGGAGAAATTGATCTAATTCTTCTCGAGGAAGGTTTAGCATCGTGTAGCAAGATAAAAATTTCACTCACTCTTTGAGTCCCAGAGTTCTGCTGTTTAATGATTCTTTTCTAAACAATAGCTAATTTGCCTAAAATATAAAAACATAGGTATTTACAATACATATGGCACATATTATAATTGTGGAAACAGTCTAAAGGCTCATTGGGATCAAATTATTAAATAAAATGATTGTGTTCTCAAAATAAAGAAATATTCTACAGGTATGAAAAATAACAGCTTTAGCCACATCCAGAGACACCTAAGACATGTCATTAAGCAACAAAGCACAGCACAATGTAACCTGAGAAGTGTGATCTCACTCCCTTTTTAAAATGCTCTTCTGTCTAGGCAGGAAGGAGAAAAATGACTGATTTGTTGGAGTTTAGCAGAGACCAGTGTCACAGCACTCAGGAAGGCCAAGGACAGGAGCTAACAAGGAAGCCTAGGTCACAGTGAAGACAGACTTCCAGATAATGGAATGGATGACAGATTAAAAAATAAATGATGCTGGAATGTTTGATAATCTGTAATAATCCCATAAAGAAATCCACATAAAACTTTTGGACCATAAATCTTAAGACTTTAGCAAGAAAATGTATTAATTCTGTGCATTTTGTTCACATATGTACATGCATCCTGACACAGGCACTTATGTGTCACACACACATATGCAAATACAGAGAGATTTACCATCACTGAAATTAGAATCTTCAGTATGCTATGAAATACCTTAGACAAAGTTGAAAGATAAGCCACAGACTGCAAGAATATGTTAGGGTAAATATCGCCAGGAAATGATGTGTAAAAGCATGAAGTGGGTTCAGCAACTACCTTGGTGCAAAGCATTTTTTTTGGCATGCCCTTGAGGAAACCCTGGGTTCTTCCTCAACACACAAGGAAAACAGCTCAGTAGAAAAACAAATCACGAGGGAAGGGGACTGACAGTTCTTAGAGGAAGGAATCTAGATGACCAGAGAACCAGTGATCTTGATGTCTTTAGTGAGAAGAGGATTGTACATTAAAAAAAAAAAGTCCTCACTGTATTAATTCCCATGGCACAGTGATTTTAAAGAAAGGGAATCGTGGCAGTATTCAGTGCTGGTGGCTCTGTGGAGAGACAGCCAACGGAGGAGCTCCATGTCATAAAGCCGTCCTAGGATCACCACGTACTGCAGCCCCGTGGCTATCCCTTTTTGTGCTGACTTAAAGAGATTCTGGTCTGGGGAAGTGGTTCAGTAGATCAATGCCCCTGCCACTGAGCCTGACTACCCGAGTTCCATTTCTGTCAACCACGTGGTGGAAGGAGAGAACCAGCCTCGCCAAGCTGTACTCCACACGTGCGCTGTGGCATGTGTGGCCCTCACAAGAAAAGAAAAAATTCAAAATGAGAGATTCCTATCTATAGCACAAGGAGACAGACATGGGGAGGTTCGTAGTTCATGAGAACGAATGGGAAGTCTCCTGAGTGCACCGGCCCCTGGGTGTTGTACTTATTAGGGAGGGCCACAGACTCTGGGCAGACCACTGGGGCTCAAACCCAGGCTTCTCACTTGCAAACTCTGCAACCAGGGACAGTAGCTTACCTGTTCTGCACACTGCTTTGCTCACCAGCAAGACGGGAACAAATACCAAACAGGCTGTTACAACTTTTCATGAGCCAAGGTTAGACCACTTTGAAAGGAGACTGGGATGCAGTTAAGACATTAACACAAGAGAGGCAAAACCAAAGATCAGAGATTGTTGTGCATCAGAAGTTAACTAACAAATGGTTCGAGGAAAAAGCATGCTCAATGGCCTCACATGGTGCAGTGGGAAAAGTACGCCACCTTTGAAAAACACACAGCAGCACTATTTGGGGCCATAGTAATAGCTATAAGACAGAAATGTTGGAATCTGCATAACAGATTAAGAGCTCTGTTCAGTACGGGGAAGAAATAGGGAAGCATAGGAAAGGGTGAGCCAAGCGTAGTGGCTCACACCTCTAGGCTCAGCTACTTGAGAAACTGAGACAGGAGGATTACAGCTTCTAGACCTGCTTGGACTACTTTGTGAGGTCAAGGCCTGCCTAGGAAACTTAGCCAGATTCTGTCTTAAGAGAATAATTTTAAAATGCTGGGAGGCAGGAGAGAAGGATCAGCAGTCAGGAGCACACGCTGCTCTTCCAGAAGATCAGGGTTCAATACCAGCATCTGCATGGCAGCTCTATGATTGGAATCTATGATTCCAGTTCCAATGCCTTTTCCTGCCCTCTGTGGGCACCAGGAACACACAGCGGGCACAGATGTGAATGCAGCAAGACACCCATCTGCATAAAAATATAAATAAATTGGAAATGTTTCAATCCTGTGGTTGTAACTCAGCAGTAGAGCACTGACCTGGTGGGTATAAGGGCCTGGGTTCAGCCATCAGGATAGAAAGAGGGTATTGACTTAGGTCTATTGATATTGTTTTGGAGAGAGAGAGAGAGAGAGAGAGAGAGAGAGAGAGAGAGAGAGAGAGAGAGAGAGAGAGAGAAAGAGAGAGATATGAGAGAGAGAGGGGGAGGGAGGAAAAAGGGAGGAGAGAGAGAAGAGAGAGGGAGTAGAGATAAAGAAGAGAGAGAGGAGAGAGAGGAGAGAGAGAGCACTAAAGTAAAAATGTGAATGAATTAGTAATTATAACCTCCCAGTAGTGAGTATACAAGAGTCTGTTGTGCTATTTTTCTAAGCATGTAATGACAGCTTTTTACTCTGTGAATTTTTTTGAGACCCTCCTTTAGTCTAGGCTGACTTTGTCCTCCTGCCTCCACCTCCCGAGTCCTTTGTTTTGAAATAATTATATACTACCCTCCGTTTTGAGAATTACAGTATTTTTGTATCTTTTTTTTTTTTTTTTTTGAGATTGGCTCTTTTCTCTCATCATAACGGTCCAGAAACTCATGCAGGTTGTAAAGTTCACTGTCCACCTTCCTGGCCGAGTATTCCATGACCTTAGCACACCAGCTCGTGATCACTCTCGCTCAGTTTCTCCAGCTTTCAAACACCTTGAGTGAAGCTGCTGGAGACATTCATGCCCAGGCCCTGTGTAAACGGGAGTGCCAATCTGGAGCATGGCACTGCTTGGCCATCCAGATAGTGTATAACAGTTGTGTGTTTAGTCTTCATAGAAACTGTCAAGCTGTGTTTCAGAGTTGTGCATGCCACATCCCACCCACAGCATGCGTCATCTAGTCTCTCTGCATCCTCATCCCCATTTAGTGTCCTCACCTGGGCTCACTATAGCGTTCTTATGGGATGATGGCTATTGTCTCTCTGATGCCTAAGGATGCTGGATGGCATCTTGGTGCTCCTCTGGCAGTATCCATCTTCTGGTAAAGGGCTTCTTCAGGCCTTTACACAACGCTGTGTAATGTTTTTCTGTTGTATGTTGAGAGTTCTTTATGTAGTTGATTTATTACCACTTTTCAGAGAGATGGTTTGCAAAATCTTCTCCAAGTATGTGAATTGACTTTTCATTCTCTTAATGAGATCTTTCTCAAAATTTTTTTTTTTTAATTTATGACTCATGTTTCACTGTCAAGTTTAAAGTTTCTATGCCTGTCCAAAGATCCCAAAAAATTATAGCCTACTTATTTAAAGAAAAGATTTATAATCTTACATTTATGTATATAAATTTATTAATCAATTCATTCATAAAGTCAATTTATTAATGGGCTTATA